ACCTAGCCTTGTTCCTGGAAAGCACTGTTTCAGATGCCAGACGTTGAGAATACAAAAGTAGATGTGACACAGACTTGCTCTCAAAGAGCTGAGCAGGTGCTGCAGGTGGGGGAGGTAAGCAAATATGAGAAATAAATAAATTACTATAGGTCTTGGGGAAAATATGATAAATTTGTTGATGGAGAAATATTTTCAGCTTGGAGGGGATAGAGTCAGTGAATGCTTCGTGGGGTCATGAAAGCACCTGATTTGGGCCTCGAAAGGGGGAGAGACTTCAAGAGACAGGGTTAGTTTGGGGTGACCTTTTTCATCCTTATTGTCCCCTTCTGGGTACTGTCTAGTTTATCACTATCCCTCTAAAATATGTTGTCCGCAACTAACCATGGTACTTCAGATGTGCTATGGACAATGGATTTATCACCTTCTATTCTGTGGGGTGTTGTGCTCCAGGAATCTGTCCTGCACCGTTCTGTTACACTGTTATCAGTGATTTGGACAAAAGCACGAATGGCGTGCTAACCAGATTTGCATGTGACGGGTTAGGAGGGATAGCTAACGCTGCAGATATCAGAGTCAGGATTGAAAACAACTTCAGCTGGTTAAAATGGTGAGCTAATGACTCTAATAAGATGAAATTTAATAAGCATACATTAAAGTCTTATACTTTGGGTTCAAAAGATCAACTTCACAAGTACAAGACATGGGTGTGTGGCTAGGTGGTGAAGGAGATTGAAAGACCAGTGTGAGCCAACAGTGGCTGTGATTTTAGGCTGCATAAAGAGAAGCATAAAGTCCAGGAATAGGGACTCTGGCCAGCCTGGGGACAGTTTTGTTTGTTTTTTAACTGACTTAGTAGACCACTTGTGGGCTTTGAGGACCAGAGCAAGGTCAAAGGATTTATGGTGAGGATCACTGGCAGCTGAATGGTGATGAAGAATAGTGGTTGACTTCTGTAAATCAGGTGAGCAGGAACAGCTTTCTGATAGCTTAGCCTTAATTAGCCTTAGATGCTTTCGTGCTCTTTTAGACGGTGACAGCTCCAAGTCGTACTAACAGGAGTAGCTTCTAGAGAGAATTTATTTGAATGGTAGCAGTTTCTTTTCATCTTCAGAAAACTTTGTAAATTACCAAAGTGGTTATTGAGGGGTTTGTGAGCCCTAAACACATCAATTATGGGAACCTGAAGGGGAAAGACCAGGGTTTAGGCCACTGTGTTTAAGCTGATGGAAAAGAATAGTATCAGCCTGGTCAGAGGTAACAAAGTTAATCGACAGAAGGAGGAAAGGCATCCTCATGATTTTGGCATAGGAGGATGGGCCAGTTCTTAGGGATGAGGGACTCATTGATTATCTTTTTGTTGGTGATGTTATAAAGTGAGAGAAAAGAAAAGGCACAAGAAGGGTTTTCTAGGATGGTAGTGGAGATGGAGTTTTCATGGGAGATAATAATGATCTCTGGACATTGATGTAGTAATCTGATTTGCAAAGCATTGCATATGTGGTAAATCTTTGCTTGCAGGTGGTTATTATTCCCATTTCACAGATGAGGAAATAGAGGCCCAGAAACTGAGCAGTCTCTCACGTCTTAGGTCACACAACTTGAAAGTGGTAGAGCCTGAATTTAAGCCTCAGTCTTTCGCCCAGCCATCTAGGTGTCGAAAGCAAAGACGCTTTGACGTACCCACTGGTTAACTGCAGAGCTGAAAGAGGCAAGTATAGCTGCCCATTTTGGTTCCCAAATGTCTCTCATTCTGAAGCTTGTGAGATGATTTGCCACCCTAAATAAAGGTTCAGCAAGCACGGAAGAATAGAAGTTTGTGGAATGAAATTACATATTTTTCTTAAGTTGCGCTACAGGACTCTTTTCCTTGTGCCCTTGCATCTTAAACTCTTTGAAGGAAATGCAAGAGTTGGTGGGGCTTCGTTGGTGGGGAAGGGAGTTTCTTTTTAATGAAGCAGTTGGTCATTTCTCACTTGGTGCTTACTCATTATGGTTGTATTCCACATATGAAGTGATCTGGTGACACTGGCCTCTTTGCTGTTCCCCACACAAGACATTCAGTCTTCTGCCTTGCCTGTCTTCAGCTAAAATCCTACCTTCTTCGAGACTTTCCCTGCCCCCCTTAATTCTGTGCCTTTCCTCTGAGATTATCTCCAGTTTATCTTGCATATATCTTGTTTGTACCTAGTTGTTTGGGTGTTGTCTCCACCTATTAAACTGTGAGCTCCTTGTGAGCATTAACTATCTTACTTCTTTATGTCCCCTGCACTTAGTACGGTGCCTGGCTAGTAGGAGCTTAAGGAATGCTTGTTGATGGTAATGGATCGGACTTTCTCCTGTTTGGGATGCCGTTTCAGGCTGTGAGATTGGGTACATATGTCAAATGGCTTGCCTCTTGTGTTATAGGCCAGCATTTCTGAAGTGGTGTGGCATGGGGAAAGATCACTGAACTTGGAGTCACAAGACCTAACCTCAAGTTTGGCTTCTAATAGTTGCTAGCTGTTTAATGCCGAGTAAGTCACTTACCTCTGAGCCTCCATTTCCTCCTCTGTGTGATAGGGAGGATAATTCTTTCACCTCCAACCCCATGAGGTTGTTGTGAGGAGTAGGTTGGGTGCAGCCTGGTGTTGGGGGGGAGGGGAAGCCCTGACTCCAGAGCCAGAGATCTAGGTTCATATCCCACTGCTGATGCCTACTATTTGTGTGACCTTGAACAAATCACGTAATTCCTGGGCTTGGGGTGTCAGCTCAGTTTCCTCTTCTGCAAATCGAAGGAGTAGGACAAATTACCTTGTATTTACTTTGAGTAGATTTTCTATTCACTTGCATGCATAAGTGTTGCTTTCTCTGTTAGAATGGAAGCTCCTTCTGGGCAGGCAGGGATCACTGGGGTTTTTGTCTTTGTATTCCAAGCACCTAGCTGGTCTGGCATGTAGGCATTGCTTAACAGAAGCTTGTTGACTGATTGACTGGATGGTCTCTGAGGCCCATTTCAACTCTAGTTCTATTATCCTGCGTTTTGGAAACTCTTATGGGCTTGTTGAACTAAGAACAACTTATTAAAAGAAAATTGGATCAAAAACTCAATTTCCAAATGCTTTCCATAGCAAAATGGAACGTAAACTTTGATTGTGTGATAAGCAGATGTTTTTTGTTTTTGTTTTTGTTTCTTAATGGCCTGAAATTTTTTGCATTGAGGGGTGTGGTTGAGTGGGAAATATACTTGACTGAGCTGAAAGTCCTGGCTCTTTCATTTATTAGCTTTGTGACTTTCTCAGCAAGTAGCACTCCACCCTACTCCTTCCCTGGGATAGAGCACAGGATGAGAATGGGGGATAGAAAGTTATCTAGATGTTGAAATGGATATTCCCTGAAGTAGAACTTGTCTGAGAAAAGACTGGACAGCTAGATTGGAAGCAGGTTGAGGAGGGCCTTGAATGCCAGGGTCAAGAATTTTTGCTTTATTCCCTAAGTAATGGGGAGTCTGTAAAGGTTTCTGAGAGAGAATGTTTTCTGTAAGTCTGCCGCCTATAGCCTCCTGACCACTACTTTCTTGCCTTGTCCTATCTCTTAAAAGGGAATCAAGATTCACATTCTAATTTTGGTTAGAACAACACACTATTCTGCTTTATGTAACAAAATAGGGGTGGCTGCTTCATGACTGACCTAGATTACGTGGACTTCACTGATTGAAAACATATGATGTTAGCTTGGGAAAGTAGTCTAACTTGGGAAAGTGGTATTTGTTTTCCATGGAAAATTCTGATTGAGGGCCCTCACCACCTAGTTGTCAAGGTTGAGATCTTGGGACCAAAAAAAAAAAAGGTTTAATTTACTGGACAGAAATAAATCTCTTAAAATATAAAATCAGCTCTAATTCCCTTGGAGATCAGCACGTACAGTCCGTTGCTGCCTGGGGCTGTTGTGCTGGCTTTGAAGTTGCAGCTTGTCTGAGCTGTGGAGGGCTGAGTCTGCCTCTCCTCCCCGCAGTCGCTGTGTTGTCAGGGGCCTGGAAAGGATTCTGTGCTCTTCAGAACTTGATAGGCTTCTGGGCTTTCGTGGTCGCATCTTCTTTTTGTTGTTTTTTAAGCTTTTTGTAAAATAGAACTAGCATAGAGGTGAATCTCGAGGTGACTACACTCATATGTCCTTACACTCATCTGTCCTTATTTATTATACAGCAGAGGAAGTTTCAGGAGTACCGTATTGATATTGGTGAATAAAAGCCACACCCTTAAAATGAGAACCTTGTGAAAGAAAGATATGTATATAAGTATACACGTAAAAGAACATTCGTTGTATTAAGAGTTAAAAGGCCTGGTTTTGAATCCAAACTTTGCCATATCTGTGTGTGTGTGTGTGTGTGTGTGTGTGTGTGTGTGTGTGTGTGTGTATGTGTATACACACAAATATAATTAAGTCAATAAACATTTATTAAGTGCCTAACTATGTGTCAAGCACTGTGTGTGTGTGTGTGTGTGTGTATATATGTATGTACATGTTTATGTATGTATATGTATAAATATATGTGTGACAGATTTTAGGGCACACTCAGGTTTTAAATAAACCAGTCTTGGGAGGGAGGATGGAATGTAGTCTTTATTCACACCAGTATGCCATCTAGAAATATGAGCTAAAGCTAGGCAAGGCTTTTGTTTGGGATAAACAAAATCACTAGAAAAGATGACTGTGACCATTGTTCCCAGCCCCTGTAACAGTGAGAAAGAACACAGAACCAGGCCCTAGGAGGCAGGAGATCTGGATTCCAGTGCTACCACTCACTGGCGTTGTGACTCTGGGCAATTTCTGTCCAAAGCCTCAGTTTCCCCTCTGTAAAATGGAGATGATATCCATCCTGTCTATTTCTCAGGGTAATGAAAAGGGTAAATGGATATGAAACTGTTTAAAAAGTATAAAGAAAACAAGAGGTGGGAAAGAGTCAAGTAGCAGCATTATGGACTAGGTTCTCCCCTTCCTAATGTATTGCCCTTTAATTCCAGGCGTGAATGACAGAGGAAGTGCCCTCCAGTGCACTTAGTGAGGTCAACCTTCGTCTTCTTTGCCACGATGACATAGACACAGTGAAGCAGCTTTGTGGTGACTGGTTCCCAATCGAGTAAGTAAAATCTGAATTTATAACCCCATTCTTTGGGTCTGTAAATTAGAAGGAATTTGGGAGACACACAACACTAGAATGGACCTTAGATTGAAGAGCATAGAATGTCAGGGCCAGCAGGGACCTTAGAGATCACCTAATTCAGAAGTTCTTGACCTGTTTTGGGTCCTGGGCAGCTTGACAGGCTGGTGGACTGAGACCTACGGACCTCTTCTCAAAACAGTGTTTGAAAATGCCCCCCCAAAAAAAGTGTGATTACAAAGGAAACCAATTACATTGACTTGTAGTTGTCAAAATATTTTTTTTAAAGCAAAAAAGTTGACAGACGCCAGGTTCAGAGCCCCTGATCTAATCCAACCTCTCATTTTTCAGAAGGGGAAACTGAGTTCTGGAGAAGTGATTTACTCTTAATCACATGACTAATTACAGCAGAACTGAGACTTAAACCCAGTTTTCCCAACTCCCAGTCCACTGTTCTTTTGAGATATTCATGAAGTATTTAGCACAGTGCTTGGCACATAGTAGGTGCTTAATAAATGTTTGTTATCTTCCCTTTTATTGCCCTTTTCACTTCACTATATTGTATCCCTTAAAAGTTTCCTAAGAAAGATACTTTCCCCCCTTCTCCACTAATTATACTGCCAGGACCCCTGACTAAAGCCAAGTAGTGCCAGTTCTTTGGGAATCAGGAAAGTTTTTGTGGAAGAGAAGAGACCAGTGAACTGAGTCTTGGAGGTTGGGAGGGTTGGGGGAGGGGAGCCCGGGGCATTCCAGGGGTGGGACACAAAGGTCTGACGAGTTTGAGCTGCACCCAGAGGAATGTGTCACATAGGCTAGTTTGTTTGTAGCATAGTTGTGCAATGCCAGGTTGAAGACATTTACGCATCTTTTGAATCATCTCTTTCCAGTAATTCTCCGAAACCTTCCCTTGACTCTGACTCACTCTCAGTGGAGTGCTCTACCCACATTCCTCAGATAGCTCATGCTCCCATCTACCTAGAAAGGTCACATACCCAGTGCCAGCCAACTTCTACATTTTGCTGCCAAAATGGGTATTGGAAATGTAACAGCAGGAAAGCCTGCACATGTACAGGGGGAAGATGGTGAATAGTACAGTTTGGAGGAACAAAGTAGTGTGAGATAAAACTGGAAAGGTAGCATGCTGCCATGTTATGGGGCACTGACCATGAATACCTAACCAAGGAGTTTGGGTTGTATTCAGTAGCTTCTCCATTTCTTCAATGTTGGGCTGTCTTTCTAATGGTCCTTTTACACAATCCTCTAAAACTCACTAGCTGTATGACCCTGGGCAAGTCACTTAACCCCAGTTGCCTCACCGAAAAAACAACAACAGCAACAACAACAACAAAAAAAGCACAACAAAATCCTCTGAAGATGCAGTAGGCAGGGAACTCCCTCACAATTCATGTAGCTGAAGCACAGTCTGCTTCTTGCTTCTCGTTGCCACTCCCCACCTCCCCCGTGGAGCTGATGCTTCAACTCCAGGACACAACTGAGTGGAACAAGATCACACAAGTGAATGGGACTTGAACCCAGGCCCTCTGAGTCCAGATCCAAGGCTTTCCCCCTTACAGTGCTGCCTGTAACTAAACCATAATCTGTTGGGGAAGATTCAGAGACCAATAGAGATAGTCAACTCTCTGACACTTGGGTCCCTGTCTGTTAATAGGGAATAACTTAACAAATTTGGGACAGTTATTCAGCAGCAAATGTATCCAACAGAATCCAGCATTTATGAAGCACCTGTCAACTGTTTTATATAAGGGCACATTCTTTGGAGAAGGACAAAAAAAAAATCAAAGCTTGCATTTCTTTAAATCTGTAATTCTCCTGTACCTTTGGTATAGGGACAGGTTCTTTAGAGATAATGGCAGTCGTGTAACTTGGGTGTGGAGGGTGTGACAAGCACAGAAACTCTTTAACAGTCTAATTACCTGATACAGCAGTATAGGCCTTACTCAAAGGCAGGAGGTGATATAATGGCATGTACCCATTAAATTCAACAAGAGCCATTTTTTAAGTATCTGCTGTGTAGACGGCACTATACTACTACCTGGAGAGATGGGAAGCATAGAGGAGATGTAGTCCCTAGCCTCATGGAGTTTACATTCTGTTAGGAGAGATAGGGCACATATACATAGGACTATGAGACAGATTAATACATGAGAACTATATAAAAGATGTGAATAAGATAGTATGTAAGATTCGATGAGGTGGCATTTGAACTGAGACTTGAACAACAAATAGGCTTTCAGCAGGCAAAGATAGGGAAGGGAAGGTGTCCTGGGTCTTGGAAATGTAGTGACAGGAAAGCCTACACGTATACAGGTGGAAGACAGTGAATGGTGCAGTTTGGAGGAACAAAGTAGTGTGAAATAAAACTGGAAAGACAGTGTGTGCCATGTTGTGGAGGACTGACCATGAATACCTAACCAAGCAGTCTGAATTGTATTCAGTAGCCAACAAGGAGGCTGAAGAGTTCTAACTGTGAGATGACATAATCAGAGCTGTGCCATATTAATGTGGCAACTTTGCAGAGGATTATTTGGAGAGGACCAGATAGCCTCGACATTAAAATTAACACAACCAGTGAATCCAGAATTGTATCCATAGCAAAACTTAGTATATGCTGTGTGGAAACATATTTAAAACCTCCCTCTTAGTAAAATTGAATATATTAAGAAAGAATATATCTCTAAAGCTCTTTCTAAAATCCTTGGAGAAGTCTCTTGGAAAGTTGGGTGATAGGTAAAGTCAAATAGTCAATAAACTGCACCTCCTTGTGTCAGGTGTTATACCAAACACTGGGGATATACATTTTTGGAAAAAGATAGTCCCTGCCCTCAAGGAGCTTACAATCTAAAGGGAGAAGACAACACACAAAAGAAAGCTGAAAAAGTAAGGAGAGGAAGCAGCTAAGTGGTACAGTGGATAGAATACCTGTGGAGTCAGGAAGACCTGAGTTCAAATCCCAGCCTCAGACACTTAGTAACTGTGTTACTCTAGGTAACTCTGTTTACCTGAGTTTCCTCATTTGTAAAATGAGCTGGAACAGGAAATGGTAAAGCACTCTAGTATCTTTGCCAAGAAAACCCCAAATGGGGCCACAAAGAGTCAGACCCAACTGAAATGACTTAACAACAATAACAATACCTAAGACATACTTAGATTGTTGCATTAAAAAACACCTGTGGACCACATCTATTCTATTACATAATTAACCGCGAGAATAGAAGATCCCATTATGGTGATTGTTTATTATTTTTAATAAGTATTTGATTTAATAGAGTAAAATGCCACCTTAAAGGCTCTCCAACTAGATATCTTCTGTGCAACAGCAAAATTGTTCAGAGCTCCACAAAAGCTATAATAAGAGAGAACCTTATTCAGTGGTAGTATCAGGGAAACCATGACTAAGGGAGGACAAAGGTGTTCTCCACTGTTAGTCATGGAAGAGATATAGCAGCTCAAAGTCCAAATGGATGAGAGAGATTGCCTATAGATGGTGAGGTCCTCCAGATGCTCTTGTTTGTAGACATTGTGCTGTTTGCACCAAACCCTAAAACACTGCAGAACCTCCCACACTAGATCTGTAACTGCTCAAAAGAATTTGGCCTGGCCATATAATCACGTGAGTAAAGAGTGCCTCTGATTCAGATTATGATGTGCAGCTCAGTAGATAGCCTTTAGAGTTTGTATATCAGTGTGGTAGAGGTGGTGGTGGGAGTGTTTTGTGTGTGTGGGGGGGTACATGTTGTTTGTGTTGTGTGTGTTATGTGTGGGTATATTTTGGACAGATAGTGCAGACGGACAATGAGTTGGGCCCACGTTTAAAGAGGGAGAGGAAATGGGTTAGATTGCTTTCGGGAAATTGCACAGCCTCTTTAAGGATACCAAACTGTTCCAAGAAACAAAGGCCCACCTTTTAAAAAAACATCATTAATTTATTTATAATCCATCCCATCTCTGCTCCCCTCCATAGAGCCATCCCTTATAACAAAGAATAAAAGAGAAAAAGGAAAAAAAGGCACCTCAGCAAAACTAACTAGTCCCCACCTCTTCAGAGAGAGATGTGTTTTTTCATCTTTTCTTCAGGGCCGAGCTTGGTTATTATAGCTTTGTTGTTGTTCTTTCATTTATATTGTAGTCATCGTGTATATTGTTTTTCTGGTATTTTCTTTATTCTGTACCAGTTCATAGAAGTCTTTCTATGCTTCTCTGAATCCTTCATGAACAAAGTTTCTTGCTATTTAGTAATACTCTATTACATTCATGTAACACTGGTGCTATATGGCTGCTACTCATGTTATGTTGTAGTATCCAAAGAATAAATGAGTCTCACTCATAGAATGCAGTGGAAAAACACACAGTGGGTATGAGCAGGCTGTGATATATAACAAATAAGAAATTTCAGAGAAGAACTGGAGTAAGGATGTCACCAAAAAAAAAAAAATTATAGTGAAAAAAATGGACTAGGCATGTGCTGAAATTGAGGAATAACGGATAGTGGACAGTCCCAGAACTCCACTGGTGACTTTGTTATCTCAGGTTGGGTGGATTCCTTTTGGGAGAGGACATGTACAAGAGTCACACACAGCATGGTCAGGTGTGGATGAGTGGTAGGAGGGAATAGCTGCTTCAGTGAGATCACAAATCCAATCAAGTATTTTCAGTATACGGGGCCCGATAACAGAGGGAACAGAAAGGAGGGACTGCAACAGATATTGAACTGGTATTCAGAGAGATTTAAGAACTGCATTGTTGACTGGGCATCTGATTAAATGTAAGCTGTTTAGGTACAGAGTAAGTGAAAGGTACAGAAAACTTTTTAATCATCTTAATTTAGCAAGACTTGATAAATCAGCATAACCCTTATTTAAAAGTAGTGGGGAAAAATAATAGCATATTTCCCTAATGAACGTATCATATATTATCATAAAATGCACACTAGTTAGTAAGCATTTATTATGCATCTTCCATGTGCCAGGCACTGTGCTAAGTAAGCACTGGGGATATAAACAAAGGCAAAAGACAGTCTTTGTCCTCGAGGAGCTGACAGTCTAATGGGGGACACAACATGCAAAACTATGTACAAACGAGATATTCAAGATGAATTGGAAGTAATCTCAGAGGAAAGGCCCTTCCATCAAGAGGGTTTTGGAAAGACTTCTTGTATAAGATGGGATTTTAGCTGATACTTGAAGGAAGCTAGGGAAGCCAGAAGTCAGAGAATAAGGAGGGAGAAAATTCCAGGCATGAGAGAGAGCCTGTGAAAATGCCTGAAGTAGGGAGATGGCATGTCTTGTGTGAGACATAACAAGGAGGCCACTGTCACTAGACGGCAGAGTAGATGGGGGGTATAAAGTGTAAGAAGACTGGTAAAGGTGGGGGGGCAGTTTATGAAGGGCCCTGAAAGTTTAACAGACGATTTCATAATTGATTCTGGAGGTTTTGGGAGCCATTGGAGTTAATTGACTAAGGAGGTGACCTGTGCTTTAAGAAGATCACTTTGGCAACCAAGTGGAGGATGGACTGGAGTGGGGAGAGCCTTGGGGCAGGCAGATGCAGCAGCAAGTTATTACAGTAGTCAGGGTGGGAGGTGCAGTCCTGCCGGCACCACTAATCCCTTTCCTTGGTTCTCTCTCTAGGTACCCTGACTCATGGTATCGTGACATCACTTCAAATAAGAAATTTTTTTCCCTTGCTGCAACTTATAGAGGAGCCATTGTGGGTATGATAGTTGCTGAAATAAAAAGTAGGACAAAGGTACATAAAGAGGTAAGTAAAAGAATATTTTTGACCCTTCAGAAAATTCATTTTTCTGTTTTGTCCAGTAGTGGGGGAGCATGGAATTGACAGGGGAGAACATGTCTTCCATTCTCATAGTAAACAATTTGTCATGAGCTGCTATGATTAGAAGTACTTCATCACCGGGTGGCCACCCTGCTGGTGATGAGTCTTGGCACTTAGCTGAACTGACCCTGACGGGGTGTGTCTGTGTCTGTGTTTGTGTGTGCCTGTGTCAGTGTCTGTGTCTGTGTGTTTCTTGATGCCAGGGTCTTAGCAGTCAGAAAGTACTAGAAACAATAGTTGGTGATATTTTCAAGACATGAAATTTTTTGTGATTTTGCCTCTTGTATTAAACTTTCTTATCCTGTCCACCATATTGGCCTGTCTGTATTCTCTGACATGTTGAATCCCAGATCCTAGGTCCTCCAGGAAGATTTCCTTTGTTGTCCTTATTTCTTTTTAAAAAAATTTTTCATTTTAAAATTGTTTTCTTTCTGACCTGAACAGACACTAAATAAAATGTTTCTATTCATTTTGTGCCCTTTAGTATTTACTTTTGTAATTATTGTATTTCTGTGTTGGTTATTTATTTATATTGTTTCCTTTTTTAAATGATTTAGATCTTGAGGACAAAAGCCATTATTTGTTCTTTACTGTAGATAGTATGTACTATTAATATCTTACATTCACATAGTGTTTTATGGTATATGAAGTGTTTCCTTAGGGCAGCAAGGAATTGTACTTTGCAGGTATCATTATTTCCATTGTATGTGTGGGAAATTGAGTCTCAGTGAGGTTAAGTGACCTGTAAGGGCTGGAGCTCGGGGTCTCCCTAGAACAAATCCAAGATCTCTCTACCACACCTTGTAGCCTCTGTAATCCCCGTAGGCATCCAAGCAGTATTCGAGTGTTGTCGGCTCAGACTTTGAAATGAAATTGCTTCTGAGCAAGACCAGGAATTTAAATTGTAAGACACTGAAGAAATATGACTATCAGTGTAGCATTCTGGTCCCTCCAGACAGCCTCCTCATAAGTTTGAATGCAGAATAGGTGTGAATCACAAGATGGATTCATGAACGAATCGAGTCTGAATTATTTACAATCAAGAACAAACAGCTGACGTTTTCCTGTCCACATTTTTCTGTTTAAAAAGGAGAGGGAAAAGTTCCTCTTTTCCTAGCAAACACAAGGATTGCTCTAATGGATTGTTGTCTTGGTTGTCCCAGCCTAGGGTCTGATTTCTGACCCCAAGAGACCTCTTGTGTAAGGTCATAGTTGTTTTCCCTGACATTGTAACACTATAAAAGGCGGGATGATGAAGTGGAAAGAGCAGTGGGCACAGAGTCAGGAGAGAGACCTGTGTTCAGATTCCGCTGCTGCTACTTACTGGTACTTTCTAGTGACTCTAGAAGTTACTTGACTCCCTGAGGCCAAGTTTTCCCCTCTGTAAAATGGGGATGATACTGTTTGCACTAAGGACTGTGCTTTGTACGCCATAAGGCGCCATGAAATGTGAATTAATGTTGCTGTAGCCATGCTTTACGACTTAGAGCTCTTTACAAGACACCTTCTTCAAAACAGTCCTTTAAGGTGGGTGGTGAAAATATTAATATAGCTATTTTACAGATGAGAAAACTGAAGCTTTGCCCAGGGTTTCACAGATAGTATCAGAGCCAGGATTTGAACTTGTCTCCTTTTATTCCATATCCAGTTCCCATTATTTGAATGTTTGCCTCCAGGATTAACTTGACTTTTTCTTTTTCTTTTTAAATTCTCTACAGGACGGAGACATTCTAGCCTCAAACTTCTCTGTTGACACACAGGTTGCATATATCTTAAGTCTAGGAGTGGTAAAAGAATTCCGAAAGCATGGAATAGGTAAGGCTGGTCAGAGCGCCCTGTCCAGGGGAGTGGGGGGTGTGCTGAGATCTCTTTGGGCTTTTTCTCTCGCATTGAGTTCAAAACATGAATGTGGAGATGAGAAATTCAGAAATTGGGTGTCAGCATTAGGAAATACATTTGGAACCAAATGCTTGTATTTCTCTCGTGCTTTAAGGTTTACAAAGCACTTTATTGACAAAGAAGGTAGATAGTGTAAGTGTTCTCACTTTACAGATGAGGGAAATGAAGCTCGGAGAGGGGACATTATTTGCCTGTTGTCATGCCTAAGAGCCTTGAACCTACGTCTCCTGAGTCCGAGTCTAATTGTCTTTCCACTACATCTCCCAGAAGAAAAGGAATAAAAGTTCATGTGTTGTTTTGTTTAATTGTTACATAGAATGTTAAGAGCAAGAAGGGACCTTACTTAGATATTGGCAAAGATATCCCAGGCTTCTGGCCCTAGACTGGAAGGGGCCTCAGAGGCCTCTCATTTTACAAATAAGGAAACCGAGGCCCAGGAAGGCTGAGTAACTTGCTAACGGTCACACAGGTAGCGTTAGAGATAAGACTTGAACCTGTGCCCTCTGACTTCAGAGCCAATGCTTTTTTCATCATATCCTGCTGCCTTTAGAAGTGAACCGATCAAGATACTCCAGCGACCTATTGGGAGAATTAACATTGGAGCCCAGAGTCAATGCCTCATCCTTCCTCTTGTTTTTTCCTCCAGTGTTTTATGTACTTTTAAAAAGTCTTACTGATGCCTTTTGTTTTTCCATCCCATTCATTTCTGAATATATTCCAGCCACTCTACCCCTCTGCCCATCACCAAGTGAGCCTTTATTTATAACAAAAACAAAGAAAAAGAAACAACACATTAACAGAACCAGCCAGTGTATTGCCCAGGTCTGACAGCATGTGCCATATTCCACACTAAAGCCTCCTACCTGTCCAGTGAAGTGATGCAGGTTTTGGAGCCTAGCCTTGGACATCATGAGTATATAGCATTCACTTTAATCTGATTGTTCTTTCCATTTAAACTGTGTAGTCATTGTGTATTTTTTCCCCTGGTTCTCCTTACTTTTCTCTGCATCATGATTCCCAGGTTTCTCTGGATTTTTCAGTTATTTCGTGTGATAGAGCAATATTCTATTACACTTATGTACCCGCAACTTGCTTAGTCATTTCCCAGCCAATGAACACTTTTATTTCCAGTTTGTTATTACCACAAGAAGTTGCTGCTACATGCGTTTTGCTATATACAGCACTTTCTGTCTGTCTCAGACCTTCTTGGCATATATGTCTAACAGTAGAATCTCCAGTTCAAAGCATATGGACATTTTAGTCACTTGTTTTTAGCATAATCATAAATTGCTTTCCAGAATAGTTTGAACTAATTCACAGCTCCACTAACAATGCATTAACATGCCTGTCTTCTTCATTACCACTTCACCAAATTACTATAGAGTTAGGAGCTTGATGAAACGTCTAAATTAATATGCTGTGATAAAATTGTTACAGCTTACAGCCAGGACATGCTATTTTGGTTGATTGTTTCCATGAGGCCAGTATTTTGTACATGCTGCATTTGTAGCCAACAGCAGAGGATTTTTGAGTTTTAAAGCAGTAGTACTTGGTGGGGATATATATTGTTATAACTATTTCTTCTGCTATTTGAATGCGATATAATATGCTATTAATAAAGTTTGAAATGAAAAATGTTATTTAAAACATCATATTTTAATCTCATTAAATATTTTATGAATAATTTTTATTTCAAAGAAAAAGAAAAGGAGTAGAAGCCTCTAAAGTGAGACTGACTGGAACATGGAGCCTGATATTAGAAGAGATTTTCCAATAGATTTCCTTCTTCTCCTTTTCCCAGGTCCTTGTGAGTTTGATTTTAGCAGGCACAATTCTGGTTTAATTTTAAAATCCCAGATTGGAATTTTAATGTGATTTTTTCCCCTTAGCATGATGGCAATACTGGGAATAAACTTTACATATTTAAAAAGTTACCTCAATTAATTGTCAGGTAGTAAAGCTGCCACATAGATTTACTTATCCAAAAAAAGGAATTAGTCATCTACCTGGTAAAGTTTATCAATGCTTCACCATTGAAAAAATAAAACCCTTTAGCTGTATAGCAAGTTTCATATCACTTTGACCCATATTACATTTTGCTGTATTTTTTTTATGTCTTGGGTCCTCTGTGGTAGATGAAAGAAATGTTTTGGCTTATTTTGAAGCATGCTAGTGACAATTTGCTTTTGTACCCATGTTTTACATATTAATAACTGCTTGCTGGCTACGTGAGGGATTTTGTTTTAATTATCCATGAAGTTTTTTGAAAACCAGTCATCAAACAGAAAAACTTACCAAATTGTGCTCTTTTATATTACTAGTCTAAATGGTTTTTTTTGTAAAATAAAAAAACTTTCCGATTCTGTTTGGTAACAGTTTGCTAGAAGAATGTAGCCTACTTACCTTTTATTGGACAGTGTTAATCATAGTTTTAACATTATAATTGAATAGACCATTTTATTAGATTCTGTAGAAATTATTATTCCTTTGAAGAGGACAAGGAATCCTCACTGTCAGAGTTTTAAAATTAATATAACTTGTTTATTTGAAGTAGAAGAAATAGTTTAGTATTAATATTAGTGAGGCAAGAGATTTCAAAAGCATTAAGTTTATCTTTGCACAGGGTAACAATACCTTTAAACTTAAAAAACAGGGAAATCTCTTTAATAATAATCATCAACTAATGAAAATTTGTATAACAAACAGATAAAGTTTAGAAATGTGTATCTTTTGGTATGCATGTTCTTGGTTGGTGGTCATTTGGATTTCCAAATGTATCTTATTTAAAAAAACTCAATTTGCAATTAATTTCTAAAATCAAAGAAATAAAACGTCTGCTTTTGAGGGGAATAGACATATAAGGAACATTATATTGAACTGTTATATGTTAAATGTTCAATTTTTTTGTTGCTAAATAATTAAATTTCACCCTAATGGTTAAAAAAAAAAAGTTACCTCAAGGTATAAAAATGCTAGGTTCAGGGCAGCTAAGTGACACTGGGCCTGGAGTCAGGAGGACCTGAGTTCAAATCCAGCCCCAGACACATAACACTCACTATCTGTGTGACTCTAGGCAAGTCACTTAACCCCAATTGCCTCACCAAAAAAAAAAATAAATAAAATTTTTAAAAAAATGCTGGGTTCCGGGCCTTACATAGGTGGTTTTTCTAACATGAATCCTCCCAAAGCAAGGCAGCCACTGAGCCCTGGTGTGATACTTAAGATTTTTCATAACTGTGTGTTGAAACACTAATATTCACAATCTCCCTGCTCACCCAAGTTTGACTCGAAGTAGCTTAGATGACTTTGAAAGTACTTTTCAATTCTAAGGTTCTTTGATTCTCTGGGTATGGCAGAGAAGTCAGTCCACAAACGTTAAGCACCTTCTTTGAGAATTGTACTTCCACTGATACCAAGAGCTATGACATAATGCTACTCCCATCCTCCTATTAGGCCTTAGTTGAGGAGATAAGGCACATATGAGACTTTTTTTTCAAGTATGGCTTGAAAAATCAATCTTGTTACTTGAGAATCCCACTTCATACATTGAAAAGGAAGCTAACAATTCAGGACAGTAAACAAGTGCCAAGTAAATACAAATGAGAAATGCGATTGGGAGGAATCTTTTGGGCAGGGATTATCAGGTCTCTTCAGTCAAACATTTAGTAAGCACTTCCTCTGTGCCAGGTATCATGCCAAGCACTGGAGACAACAAAGAAAGGCAGAAGATAGCCCTTGCCAAGGGATTTTAGCTGGGATTTGAAGGCAGCCAGGGAAGCCAAGAGACTGAGGTAAAGAGGGAGAGAATTCTTAGCATGGGGGACAGCCAGGGAAAATGCTTGAGTCAGAAATTGGAGTGTTGTGTGTGAGGGACAGCCAGTCAATCAGTGTCATGAATAGATAAGTACACAGGGGTGAATAAGGTGTAAAGAAACTGGAAAGGTGGGGTTAGTTATGAAGGACTTTGAACATCAGACAAAGGATTTTATATTTGATCCTGGAGGTTATAGTTGATCCTGGAGGTGGCTAACAGCTAACATTTATATAGCACTTACTACGTGCGAAGCCTTGTGCTAAGCACTTTATAATTATTACCGTGTTTGATCTTCACAAAAACCTTGGGAGGTAGGTGCTATTATTAGCATGGCCAAGGCTATTTGTTTTGAAAGGGATTTAGCCTATACTTAAACAGTTCCCTTCCTTCCTTTCAGCCTCACGTTGCCCTCCCCCTTCTTTCACTACAATTCGAAGCTGTATCTTCTAGTTAGTAAGTCTTTCCAGGTTATGCCCACTCACTTCCCATTTCATCAGTAAAACTACCCTTTTACCTTCCCCCTCACTAAATCAATAAATATATTAGGTGTGAGCAACTATGCTAGGCCCCACTCACCCTTTTTATAACCAATAGGTTTATCTGTGTTTTGGGTACATGTTAGTATCTTATCTCTATTAAATTGTAAACTTTTTTAGGATGAGGATTGTAGCTTGTCTTTCATAGGCTCCTTAAGCCCCCTAAAACACTGTCCTCTGTCTACATTCTAGCTATGTCTTGTGATATTTGCCTCGATTATGGTAAGTCAGTTGACACATTCAGGAGGCCATCTCATTCCTAGACAGGAAAGTTAAAGCTAAGACTTTGAAGCTACCTTCAATATTATTTTAAGTATATAAATGGTAAATGAGCAAAAATATCTGAAAACTTAAGATTTTCACACTTTCCCCATCACACATCTCCTGTATGCATAAAGCATCTTTTCTTTCTACTTCTGTCTGATTTTCAAAGACAGTTGGCAACGGAAAGAATACTTAATTATCTTCTCACATCTATGAATTTCTACAACTGAAATGAAACCATCGAGATAATTGTTTCTGCAGAGACCAAAATAGAGAATGAGCAACCCTAATTAAAAAATGTATCACTCTGTTTTGTTCTTAGGATGAGGTAGATGGCATCATGGATAGAGAATTGGCCTTGGAAATTACTGTTGAGCTAGAGAGATAACGGGCAGCTAGGTAGCACAGTGGATAGTCAGAACCTGGAGTTAAGACGCCTCATCTTCCTGAGTTCAAATCTGGCCTCAGACTAGATGCGTGATTCTGGACAAGTCACTTTAACCTTGTTTGCTTCAGTTTCCTCATCTGTAAAATGAGCTGGAGAAGGAAATGACAAACCACTCTAGTATCACGCCAAGAAAATCCCAAATATGGTCACAAAGAGACTGAAATGACTCAACAACAACAAAGAGAGACGGTGCTAATGCATATAAAACAGTCAGCAAACAGGTGCTGAATTGTGTTGAACTTTCTGCAGTAGGAATTCAGAAAAGGGAGAGATATGGGTGCATGAAGGTGGTCATAGAAGTACTCCATCATCTAAGTCAGTGCCTGGAACATCTTTGTTACTCAATAGGTGCTTGTTGATTGATTGATTATGACAGCAGTGAGTGAGCCCAGAGTCAGAAGATTTAGGCCTTTGATTCTTGTGAAAATAGGCAAATCACTTGCTTCTTACTGGTCTCCCCTGTGAAATGAAAAGGGTTGATTAGATAGGGTCCATAAGCTCTAATGTTCTATGAGTCTGAGTTAGGAGAGACTTAAATTGACTTTGAAAGATACAAAAGACAGAGGAGAAAAACAGAAGGCGTTTTAGGCAAGGGCAGTATCATTAGTAGAGACTCTGAAATGGGAATGAGCTCAATCTGTATAAGGAACAGTAAAAAGATTAGTCTGCAATGTGGGAATTTGTTTTGCCGGACTGTGTGTTTATGGGAGTTTTTGTTTCTTTCTCTCTTTTTAGTTGGTTGTTTCAGTGGGGAGAGTAGTGAGAGGAATAGATTATTAATGCATATAAAAATTAATAAATGTATTTAAAGAAAAAAAGACTAGCTTGGCTGAAGTAATAAGTGCTCATTGAGGTAATAAAGGTGGATAAGTAGGTTAGGGCCAAGTAATAGAGAGTTGTAAAAAGCAATGAGAGGAATTCAGACACGTGGTAGGCAGCTGTAATAAATTTGTTTGAACTGAGGGCTCTTTTTTAAAATTATAGTCATTAACATAATAGGAATTACATATTTTCTGAATTGTTTATTTTTAATTAGGTGCCTAAATTTCACAAATAGATATGAATTTCATATTTGTTCTTCAAGTGGGGCCCAGTCTCAGTGTTTCCTGTAACCAAATAGTTCCCGCCCTTCAATGCAGGCTCTGTCTTATCCTAGTAAATGATAATCTATAATTATGTTTTCTAAATATATCTTCTCTAGCCATAGACCATTTGAGCCAATAGCTGTTATTTATTTAGACTCATTTGATGTTGACCCAAGTTAGTTTGTAGCTATAGAGAACATAATAAATTTAGAAAGTCTGGACTAATTTTAGACATGTTAAACTCAATAGAATTTTAAATTCAGCCAAGTTCGTGCTTCTGAAATAATTGGATTGTTTGTTATAGAAACAAACTTCAGACTTCAGGAATTTTAGTGCCTAGGACATTGTGATGTTAACACTTTATATGAAAATCCACAGAGGGTTCCAACGAAGGCATCTATTTTCATTCTGCAAACACTCTTGAAGTACTATGTGCCAGGCATTGCTATGGGGATTGAGGGTACAGAGACAAGAATGAAACAGCCCCTGCCCTCAAAGAACTTACATTCTATGGAGGGCAGCAGCATGCCTGGAATGCCCTTCTTCCTCACCTTGGCCTGTTGGTTTACCTGACTTCCTTCAACTCTCCGCCCAAATTTCACCTTCTGCAAGAGGCTTATCCTCTTTTTACTGATCCTCCTCACTAACAGTGCTTTTGTCCTTTTAGATTACCTTCCATTTACACTGTATGTCACTTCTATACACATGGTTGTTTGCATGTTGTCTCTCCCATTAGATTGTGAGTCCCTTAAAGGCAGAGACCACAGACCATGTTTTTGCCTTTCTTTGTATCCCCAGCACTTAGTACAGTGTCTGCCACGTAGTAAGGGCTTAATAAATACTTGAAGAAGATGGTGATGAAGATGAAATACTTACTGTATAAAAAGCATCTTAATGCCTTCCAGAGGGAATTTACCATGGTAATTAAGATATAGTCCCTCCCTGCATGGAGCTTATCATCTAGCAGGAGTGAGATTTAATGTGTTTATAAAGTGCGTTACTACTGTCTCATGTTTACTGTATATAGTTATCCTTTCCTTCCACAATGAAGGGGTTAGGTACACAGCACCCCTACAATATGGAAAATATGAGTAAAATTTTTTGGCCCTCCCTTTGTACCAGAGAAGAAGTCTGAATTATTCTGTTATTAAAAGATAACATGTGTTGATATTATACAGTACCTTATATATATTTTATACATTTCTGAGTTTCTAAGCTTTTTTTGTGTTGTCTGTGGCTTCCACAAAACTCCCAAAAAATTCCCATTTAATTTCTTCTGCCAACATAAGATATATCAAAACCGTGATGGGAAAAGTCTCGATGTGGAAGGAATAACTGTATAGCATTTCATAATTTACAAAATGCTTTTCTCACAGCCACCTTCTGAGGGAGGTAGTCTGAGTGTATGACAGGGAAATAAAATCTGAGATAGATAACATGATTATCTGAAGTCACATGGCTAAAAGTAGCAGAGCCACCATTTGAACCCTGGTCCTTTGACTCTAAATTCATTGTTCTTCCCTTTGTGCCCCTGGGCTTTGTAGAGTATTACAGCAATATAAGATGAGATTATAAGAAGTACAAGAGAGGAGTAGAATGCGCCATGTAGATTAGAGATTACTTGGGAAAGGCTTCAAGGAAGAATTGACTGACATCTGAGTGGGCTTGAAGAATGGGGAGGATTGAGGGTATTTTCTGTGTTTATTCTCTTGGTCCAGTTGTGTGTAACAACCTTCCTCCCTCTCTCCCTTCTCTCTCTTTCTTTGCTAGGTTCCCTTTTACTTGAAAGCCTGAAGGATCATATATCTACTACGGCTCAAGACCACTGTAAAGCCATCTACCTGCACGTCCTCACCACTAACAATACAGCAATAAATTTCTATGAAAATAGAGACTTTAAGCAACACCACTATCTACCCTATTATTACTCCATAAGAGGAGTCCTCAAAGATGGCTTCACCTATGTACTCTACATCAATGGGGGGCATCCTCCTTGGACAATTTTATATCCTTTGCTTTTGTTCACAGAGTTTGCTCGTTATCTCTCGTTAGTGCAAACTGAAAGCTAGAGGCTGAGGTGAAAGAGTAGTAGCCTCCTTCAGATCACTCTCAGCAAGCCAGCAATGAGGTGACCGCAGTGCAATTAGCATTTGTCCCGAACCAGTTCATGTTCCAAGGGAATCTTGGGGCATCATTATTTGGAGCCTGGAAAGCACAATGACTCCAGTCAGAGGACCTGAGTTCAAATCTTGCCTCTGACACTGCCTTTGTGACTTTGGGCAGGTTATTTAACTTCCCAGGGCTTCATTTATCTGATTTGTAACATGAAGGGGTTAGACTGGGCAGTCTATAAAGGCCCACGTCTAGGTCTGTGATCTGTGGAATAGCTACGCATGTTGAAGAGGTAGCAAAGTGTAAGAGCATACTGGGTTTGAAGCTTTAAAACAAACAAACAATCAAACAAAACCTAGATTCAGATCCTGTACTTATCATTTCTAACTATGTGATACTCTGAGCCTCAGTTTCCTCATCTAGAAAATGGGGATAATAATAGTTGCCCTGCCTACTTCACAAACTTGTTAAGAAAATTAAATGATTTGAACTCACTTTCTAAAGCACTATATAAATATGTTCTTTTTAAAAAAACAAAAACCAAAAGCCAGGATCTTCATAGGGTCCTTCGTACCACCCGGTATTCCCAAGATTCCAATTAATATTTAGACATAGATTTTAATCCTCTGGGTCCTAAATAAGAATAATGATTTTTCTGCGATCTAAATCAGACTTGCACTTAGATTTAAATTGGTTCCTCTTCCTTTATGGACAGGATATAAGTTGAAAGTATGATTTCTTCTCTCACTCTTTCCAGGTCCCTTTTATAGGAAGCTGGCAGAGAGGTTTCCCAGCAGTAATACTATTTAATGTGTTTTGGATGAGGTCATATGAGTGAGCCAGGGGTTAGGTGCCCATACTCATCAGTCAACAAGTGTTTTTATTAAGTGCAGTTTGTGTGCCAAGAACTGTCCTAGGCACTGGGGATGCAAAGACAAAAAAGGGAGTAGTTGCTTCCCTCGAGGAACTTACATTTCACTTAAAGGACAAGAGCTTGCTGCGCCCTTCTGCTGTCCAAGAAAACTAGCCAAAAGATTGATTCTCTACATTTTTGCTCATGACGGATGACACCTTCTGAACTGTGGTACGTGTATGTGTCTTAGAATTGTTCAACAGACGTTGTGTCTGCTGTGTGCCAGTTTTGTTGTGCTAGGCACCCAACATACAAAAACAAAAGTGAAACAGCCCCTACCCTCAGAGAGCTTACAATCTACTTAAAAGATGAGAGTTTACCAAATCATTCTGCTATTCAAGAAAATGAACCAAAAAGTTGATTCCCTATGGCCCATTCTAGAAATGGACTTCTTTATGACTAGTAACATTCTTTGAACTGGAGTGTATTTGTATGTGTGTGTTAGAATCAGTCAACAAGCATTTATTAAGTACCTCCTATATGCAGGCATTGAGCTTGGTACTGGGGATACAAAGATGAAGGTGAAACAGGGCCTGTCCTCAGTCAAGAAGCTTACATTATAATGGACATCTGAAGACAATTTGAAGAATTTTCTTGGAATACAGTAGAAAGAACCTTGAATTTGCTCTCCACTCACACAGATACTCCAGTCCTCATTTTCTACAATCTGTGAAATGAGGACATCGGTCTAGATGAGCCCTTCCAACTGTAAAACCCAGTGACCCTATGTCTATGGGTGCTCTGATCTGTATGTAATTCCTGGTATCTCTCCAGGCTATTGTGTCACCTCAGGCTCTTCCCCTTCTCTCCCAATCCATACCCCACCAGCTGTCTGTCTATTGGCATGTGTAAACCATAAACATATTTTCTAATTTGGTGAAAAGATTCTGTGTCCAAGCACTGGCTCTTTTGTTCCTTTGTGACTGCAAAAGCTCTTGGATAATAGCTCAAGTCAGATGGAGAGTGCATCGTCTTCCAGGGAGGATTTTGTGCTGTCCATAATCCTCTGCATTGGCAAATGTGGTGGTAGTGAAATGACTATTGAAGTTGGGTATCTTTATTTGAGGAAAGGGAGAAGACAGGGGGCAGGGGAGGGGACTGTAAGGGGGGTGATTTGTTTTGTTTTGAAGGTCACTTGGAGAGGATATTCCTTAACTGAATCCCACTGACTACATTCAGCACATCGGGTCTGCATTAGCCAACCTGAGCCCGTGTTCAATTCCACAGCGGATTTATCGCCAGGCCCAGAGTCTTCTTTGCAGTCTTCTGCCATGGTCAAGCATTTCTGCCAAGAGTGGCATCGAGTACAGCAGAGCCATGTGATTTGGTCAGAAGGCCCTTCCCGGAAGCCACCAAGAGGTGCCTGAGTTTCCAATTACCTTCACTTGAGAGCCTCGCCTCTACACCACAATAACCCAGTCCGGGTGGGCTCTAATGGTGGAGCTGCCCCATGCTGGGCTGCCAACGCAGGTTGCTGCTCAGTGAGCCTTGGGGAGCCTGGGGTCAGCAGACCAGGGATGATGATGGAGAGGCACATGGAGAGTTAGTTGACTTTGTGTTCTTGCCTTTGTCTTTAGGGGCATGTTGGAAATCAAAGTTTTGAGGGGGGAGTAGAAAACAAATTAGGATCAATTCTCTGAAAGACTTCAGGGATCAGTGACTTCATCTTTGTGGTCATTTTACCCACTGATAGAAATGGTTTAGTCAGTGACACTTTATGAAAACACTGAGAAAATACAGTTTCTTACCTAACCAACACAGTGATAAATTTCTCTAAACTTTTGGTCCTCGGACAACAGGTGGAGTCTGTTGCCAGGTCCACCCTCAAAATAGGAACTGCCATAGCTTGAGCTCTATTGGCATAACTTTCAAAGGTCTAAAGTCACTTCTATGCAACATCGCAGGTGAACTGTGGTGGACACCTAACTTGCAAGTCATTTTTTAATAGTACCTAATCAACAAGAGACAATCAAGTGTAGTAGATGAAGGACTGGCCTTTGCAGTTGGGAAGACCTGGCCTGCCTGTGACACACACTGACAGTGTGACCATGAGCAAGTCACTTAACCTCCTTCAGAGAATAAGTTACAGACAAGTTTCTTCTCTGTATCGATGTAGGGAGTTTCCATGCCCAGAGTTCCCATATGTAGATGAATCCATAGCCAGGTCCAGGTCAAAAAGACCCCACCAAAAAAGCCCCTTAAATAATATATTTGGGGCCTTGTTAAACTGAACTATAATGGTGGAAGAGAACTGGACCATTAAGCTCCTATTTTTGTTGTTCAGTTATTTCAGTCATGTTTGACTCTTTGTGCCCCACTTTGGGGTTTTCTTGGCGAAGATACTGGAGTGGTTTGCCATTTCCTTTTCACTTTACAGATGAAGAGACTGAGGCAAATGGGGTTAAGTGAGTTGCCCAGGGTCACACAACTAGTAAGTGGTCTAAGGTCAGGAAGATGAGTCTTCCTGCCTCTAGGCCTGGCACTCTATGCACTATGGCGCCACCTAGCTACCTACAAGCTCCTACTATCATTCAATAAACATTTCCCATACCTCTCCTCCTGAGTCTGTTTCCTGCTTTGTAAAATAGGAATAGTGATGATATACTATGTACATCTCAGTTGTGAGGGAAGCATTTTGTAAAGTGCCATGAAAATGTCTGCTATTATTGATATTATTAATGTTGTTAAATGCAAGACATTAATAATAATGTGGTAATGATGATCTATTCAGGAGACTGCTAGGGCTTTGAAGGAGATACTCAATCTGGTGGGTGGAGAGGAGACATCAGGAAAGAATTATAAGAGGCTAGAATAGAATTCTGTTCATAAGAGAAATACAAAGTGAAGTAGAATCAGATGAGAGAGAAATCTAGCCAGGGGATCTCAGGGAAAGGCTCAGTGGAAAAACTGGCATGTGAGCTGAGGTAAGAGAGATAAGCTAGGAAATGATCATCGAGAAGTCACCACAGTCCTCACAACCACCTCTAAAACCACAGTGTTCAGGACTGGTATGACTACGAGTTGTACCTTCTCCCCAGGTTACCTTCTCCCCAGGTTATGCTTAGAAAACCTGAGTGTGGTATGTTCTCTTTACCATGCAAATGATGAAGAGAGCAGGGATGATAAAGATGAGGTCCCTTACAGCTTGAGCTCTCTGGTCTTACAATTTTTATTTGAATTGGAAAAAAATAATTAAAAACCTTTTCACCCCAGCAAGTATTCGTTATAGGCTAAATATTTGATAGTTTTCTAGTGTATATATGCTTATTGTTTTTCCTTCGGAGTTCTGGTTTTTAGAATCCATAGAGATAGAGAGAGTACTATAGAGAGATAGTACTGCTTAAGCCTTCTTCATCATCACCTTTTCTCTTTGGTTTTGAACAGGTGTTTTGTACCCTTCTGCTCCTGAAGCCATTTACTTCTGCACTGATGCTGCTAACCCTGGCTTCCACGAATGCTCCGGATCTGCCCTCTGTGGATGAGATGGGGATTTGGCCTGACTTGTTGTGGTGCCCCTTTTTCCCCTCTCCTGGGAACAGGAGGATGTGAGTGGGCTTTCTCCTTTCCTACCCAGTGTCTTTGCTGGGAACCACAGGACCTCATAGGTGAAGAAAGGAGCACCTCCCCCATCTGCTGCACCTCCCACCCGACCCTACCTCCACCCCCAAACCCCCTGTTGGCGGGCATGAACTGTCCATGTGAGCTCCACTCCTTCATTCTGTGTAAACTAGCTTGGCCTTGAGGAGAATGTAGCTTCAGAACAATAAAGCAAGTGATTTAGGGAGGGCCAAAGGCCCTCCAGGAACATGAAATCACCAAGGCCAGTGTGTAGCTGAGGCTCAGCCCCGGAGGCTAGGTCAGAAGCTACTCTCGCCTCATCCTTTCAGGACTGTCAAGATATCCAGGCACAGAACCTTTGGCATTGTCCCCCCGAAAAAAACTGTCATGTCAGGTGGCCCAGCTTCTCCAGCAAAGTGGATTCCTGATGACCTTGGTGTAGGATGGTTTGATAGTAAGGGCTCATTCCCTGGTTCCCACCTTGAAGACATACTCTCTGATTCCCTTCTGCCTTGGACTTTGCTCAACACTGAAGAGAGAGATCATAATTCCTATTTCATAATGAAATACATTGTCTGCCTCAGCTGAACTGGACCTAGGGGTGGGAAGGATGAGAGCTCTGCAGTATTCCTGAGATCAGGCCTAGGATTTTCCCCTTCTAGATTATCCCCATACCTGAGCCTCCTCAGCCATCACTCCAACCAGAGCCACCATGACTTCTCTTTGTACAGGAAGTTATAAACATGGGTCCCAATTTCTGGCTCCTCCAGTGCAGTCCCTGTAAGCGGCCCTGGTCCCAAGGGGACAGAGCCATGTGCCTTGTAGCTTTCAGCCCCAATGGAGAAAGTTTTTTCTTCCTCTGGATTCATGGAGGGGAGGAGACCGTGGCAGTAGCTCGGCTGTTTCAGTTCTGTGAAATGTGCTTGCAGCATGAGATCTGCCCTCACCATCCCGTTCAGTTGTCTCCTGCCCCCTAACAATCCCTGTGTTTTCTGAGGTACAGTGTAGTTCCAGCCTCTAAGAGTATCCAGTGCCCAGTATTACAAGCAGCCATTCTTCCAGACTTCTAAACCTGAGTTGGGGGAGGGGGAGAAAAACACAAACTCTTTCCCTGCCCAACACAAATCAAATCTTCCCTAAATCCCTTTTAGACTTTTTTAACCTGTAGGACCTTTCCAGGACTCTAGGACAAGCAGCCACCATCTCCTTCTAGTCCTAGTGATGGACCTGCCCACCCTTGTGGTGGCCTCCTGGGAAGGTACGATAGTTAGAGAAATGTCGAAATTAAGGGGCAGTCCTTTGGGCTGGACAAGCATTTACTGTTTTGTGCATCCTTCGTCATTTGATGGGAGGTTTGTCAGTTTGTATTCCCCCCACCCTGCTGTCCCCTGGGGGTGGGCAAACATCATAAAGTACTTGATTTTCGAAGAAATTAAGGGCAATGGTGATGCCATTGGCACAAGTGGGGTTAGTTTCCTACTAAATAAGTTTTGATAGCTTGGATGCTGGCCAGTGCTGAGACCCCAGTGTGGTCTTATATTTATGTTAAAATAAATATGTTCATCTGATTTTGTTTTCTGTACTGAGGGGTGGGGAGAAGTTTTCCAGATCTGGAGCATCTGGACATCCAGTGTTCAAGCTAAAGATAACTTGCCCCTCAGCACTCCCTTTCTCCCATAATCACTGTAGTGTCCAACTTGGTGTTGAATGGATTGTAGTATTTTGTCTTACTAGAAAAACAACAACAACAGAATAAAACCTTAATCAAATCTAATCAATCTGACATTCATCTTGTAAATCCTATAGTTTTGCCACTTGTTTGCCTCATCCCTCTTGGGAATTTGCACTAATGGTGGTAGGGGTGGGATATAGTCACCGTGGAGAGGATATAGAGCTGGAAGGGGCCTCAGAAATGATCTAGCCCAACCCAGCAATTTTGCAGACCCTCCAAGTGTAACCCCAGGTCTTTCCAGGACATTATTGCTGCCTATCTACACCAGAATCCTGATGATCAAAACCAACCACCATCGTTTAGCCAATGAGGAAACTGAAGCCAAAGAGGCCTACTTGTTCAAGTTGCATAGCTAATTAGTGACGGTTCTGGGACTTGTACCCAAGTCTTGTGATTCCTCAATCCAGTGCCCTGTCTATGATACTGCACTGTTCCCTACTGGGCCATGTAAATGGAGATTATTACTTGCAGTTCTGCTGAGATCACCATGGCAGTGATACCCTATTCATATAGGCAGGGAAAGGCAGGAATTAGGTGAGATCTTCAAGATTCTATCTAGTTCATCCTGCTCATTTAATTGCCAATAAAGCTCAGACCCTATAGAGGCAAGGTGACTTCCTTTACGTCACATCAGTAAGCTGCAGTTAGAATTTGAACCCAAATCCAGTGCTTTTTCCGATGTGCCCTGAAGAGATGGACAATGGAGACACCATCTGATTCTAATTCGTCCCCTCCCCATCTTCTTCAGAGTCTGTCAGCAGTGGTGTGGCCAAGTGATTGACCCTCTAGTCCAGGAGTACTTAACCTGGACTCTCTGAGCTGTTTAAAAAAAAAAAAAAATCTTGTTAACTCTTTTAATATAATCGGTTTCCTTTGCAATCCTATGCTTATTACTTTCTGTCTGTAAAATCATTCTGAGAACGAGTCCATAAGTTTCACTGAACTACTGAAGGAGTCCATGACACACAAACGGTTAAGAACCCTTGCTCTAGTCATTGTTTCTCTTGGAAAGTTCAGTGTCATTGCTGAGCTGCTTGGTTCTGCTTTCTCAGGAGTGCACTGCCCCAGGAATGTTTTCCATAGTATTCTGCATGTTTCACTGAGCCAGGACTGGAAGCCAGTAAGTTTCTTCCAATAAGTAGTATGCATGTGTACGGGAGTGAATATGTAAAGTCACATATGTTTGTATAGCACTCTGCTATTCAGAGACCTTTTATGTATACTGTGTCAGCCTGAAAATAAAGCATCTCCAAATAACCAGCTTCTCCTAAAGTGATGGGGCAGCTAGGTAGTGCAGTGGATAGAGTGCCGGGGCAGGAGAGAGGAAAACATTTTCCTGAGTTCAGATCTGGCCTCAGACACTTACTAGCTGTGTCACCCTGGGCATGTTACTTCACCCTGTTTGCCTCGGTTTCCTCATGTGGAAAATGAGCTGGAGTAGGAAATAGCAAACCACTTAGGATCTTTGCCAAAGGAAAAAAAACCAAAAAAAACCCAAATGGGGTCATGACACAACTGAAACAACTCAACAACAACCTAAAATGATTTTTAAAAGGAAAAAATGTATACCATGTAAGATAACACCAATTCTAGACTACTCAAGTCTGATAGCAATCAGGTCACGAGAAAATTTTGGGGTCTCGTCAGACCTGATAATGTTACCTCACTCAATCCTCATGATGACTCTGATGCTGTTGGGTAAGTATGACAAGTACTAGCACTGTTCCCATTTTAGAGATGGGGACACAGACAAAGGTTTTCCTAAGGACACCCAGTGAGTGAATGACAAGAGCCTTCTTAGCTCCTATTCCCAATTTTATTCCAGATAGCTATGCTATAGTAGCCAGTGTCCTCAGCTGGACCCTGGCTGAAACCTGCATCTGCGATGATGGTTATAACAGAGCCTCAAGTAGAATAGGGAGAAGTAGACATAGTATCTTTGGGCTTTAATACATCACAGGGAATTAAGTTAGATGACTTTTCAGGAGACTACACTCTTTGGTGAGCCTAGGATGATGATTACAGGAGAATTTAGGATAGTGACCATGCCCAAATCCCCAATATAAAGCAGATTCAGAAGGCCTGACTCCAATATGAGTTTTGTGTCCTTGGACAAGTCAGCTTCATCTTTAAGACAGAACTGCACAATACTGCCTATATCATAGAGCTACTGTAAGGATTAAGTGAGAGAATTGTTTCTAACCAGAAAGTGCAAAGAACTGTGAATTGTCGTGAGTTCCTCTTTCCTTTAGAATGATCCATCCAAGAAAAATAGGCAGCAAGCAAGAGAACACTTAACAAGCTGCCTTAGATGAACTCATATTAGCTGCATCCAAATTACTGCCTGCAAGTAAACGACCTCCTTCCCAGGGTAATGATAGATAGCTAGAGAGACAATCAGACAAAGCATTTGTTTCTACTAAGTGCTGGGATTACAAATACGGCAAGAGATAGTTACTCCCCTAAGGGAGCTTACCTTATAATGGGAAAAGACAACAGTAATGGCGGAGGGACAATGTGGGGAACAGAAGGAGGTAGAGTCCAGGCAAGAGGAAGGTAAGACATGGCTGGATTCCTTCCCAAAATGGTAAGAGAGTCAATAATGAGGGAAAATAGGTCTCCTGGGCATAGATTTCCCAGGGTGGCAATGCAGCAGACGAGGTGAATAAAGGAACTAGTGGGTGTGATTGTTGAGTCATTGACAGTGATCTTTGAAAGGCTGTGGATGGAAGAAGTGCCATAAGATTAAAGGAAGGAAAGTGTGCAAATTTTCAAAATGAAATACTGGAAAACTTGAGGAGGTGGACTTGACTTTGCATGTTGGCAAGATTTTAGAATATGTTATTAAAATAAAAGGGACCATTATTCAACATCTAGAAAGTCATCATGGTTTTGCCAGAATTTTTTGTGCTGTGTTTTTGCAGGTCATGCCATTATCTAACAAGGTTATTAGACTGAAAGGTCTGAAAGTGAATGATAAAACACTTAAGTGCTCGTTATGTGCCAGACAGGGCAATCGGTGCTGGAAGTACAGATACAAAAATGAGATGGTCCCTGCTCTCAAGGAGCTCACATTCTAATAAGGGGAGATAGTGCAAATAGAGGTGAGCAGGGAAGCCAGTTTTGGTCTGGGGAATCACAGGGGCTGGTGAGCTGATGTTGTTTGTCCTTCCTTCTAGAAG